TTTTTTATTTTTTTTTTTTTTTTTTTTTTGCTGATGTGAGGGTATATGCATGTAACCTAGCTATTTGGGAGGCTGAGGCAGGATGATCTCAAGTTCTAGACCAGCCTGGACAATTTGGAGAGACCCAAAGGGCTGAGGACATTGCTCAGGGATGGAGGGCCTTGTGTTCAATCTCTGCTACTCCCAAAATTAATTAAAAAAATTTTTTAAAATTCTTTTTGTTACTTTTAAATAAGGTAATAAAGAAGGCCATAATATTCATTTTTCTTTAAATAGTTCTATGAGACTCAAGCAGCTATGAATTTAACTATTGTGGAAGCCCTTCCCTAAAACCTTTTATAAGAAGCCCTTAACCCTGGAACCTCTTTTCAGGGCGAATTCTGGAAACAAAACAAAACCACTTATGGGATCTTGCCATTGTTTCAATAGTTTTTGCCTCTTGGGCGTCAACTCTTTTTGGAAGCAGGTACAGACAGATGAGAAAGGTCTTCCTCCTTTAGTCCCATTTGTGTTCCCCAAATTCCGATTCCCTTCAGCACACTCGTCCCTCCTCAAAATGAGAACACACAACCCCCCACTCAGCGACTGCTCAGGACTAGGGAGCCACCAAGTCCTTGAAGTCAGACCTGGAGCTGGCGCCCAGCCCCTCCATAGCTGGGACCCTGAGCATCTGTCTGGAACTAGGGAGCTTCACTGTAAGGGGCGCCCCCTGCAGGGCCCAGCGAGCCACCCAGTGGGCAAGAGGTGCATGTGCCCGCGCTGATTGGCTGGCTGGCTCGGCACCAAGCCAATGGGAAAGCTCCCTCAGGCTTTCAGTCTGGCTGTGCTGGGGACGCGGGGTGAGTGTCTGGGCCCCACGTGAAGGTGGCTCAGGGGTGACTTGCGGCTCGTGTGAGCCACACATGGGCCTAAGAGCCTGTGGGCAGGGGGCTGAATCACGTGAAGACGCTGGTGTTTCCCCCCCCCACCGCCCCGCATTCTCAGTGTCAGTCTGGAAACGGAGACCGGAAAGACAGCGGAACAAGGTTTTGTCACTGCTCCGCGGGCCTCCTCCTGGCTCTTGTCACACCTTGGCGTGCTTAGGTGAGAATCTTGGCCAGTCTGCTGCACTGTGTCCCAGAAGGAGGCGGATCCTAGATAGACCTTGCCTCACACGCCCACGTGACTGCTCCCAGTGGCTTTGGGGGCCACTCAGGGACCTGGGTTATTGTATGTCGTAATTCCGGATTTTGTGGGGATAAGGTCCTCACATGGGATTCATTTTGGTGGTTAAAATATATCTTTAGCACGATCTTGTTCGGGGGTCGGCAAACTTTTGTAAATATATTATTATAGTGTATTATTCATAAACAGCAATACTTTTAGTAGTATTTAAAGCTTTGGAGACTGCACTCTGCTTACCTAAGACAATACATAAAAGAGTGACTGTTGTAATAAAATTCTATTACGGATTCTGAAATTTACGTTTTGTATTAGCTATGTAATTTGCATACTGTTATAGATGGTGCACATGAATCTACTTGTCAAAAGATAGGCATTTTGTTCTGAGAAAAAGAAGTTTATTCCAGGGAACAGGGACTAAAATCAGCGGAATTCTAGCTGCTAGCTGGGAAAAGCTGAGTTTATGACGTGTGTGGGGATGGGCTGACCCTGGGAGAGAGACGTAACAGCAGCTGGCTGGGAGAGATTTCATCTGTGGGTGGATGGGCTAACCCCCAGGAGGGAGACATAAGCAGCTAACTGGGAAAGGAATTAGGTTTATGCAGGTATTGAAGAGGCTAGGGAATCTGGGGTGAAACGTTTAGGACTGAATCCAAGGACAGTCTGCACAGGTGTGTAGACAATCACTGGACTTTTCAGCCTGAGGAGATCCTATACTTTTTTTGTGTGTGTGTGCTAGGGATCGAACTCGGGTCTTTGCACTTGTGAGGCAGGTGGTGGCACCACTGAGCTAAATCTCCGGCCCTTGGCCCTCCCTCCTATGCTTTGTTTTGAGTCCACTTGTCCTGTTTGTTGAGGAGCTGCTGTTGTTTGCTCAAAGCAGCCTGTTTGCTTTGACCTGTTTGTTTAGGCCAAGCATGACACATATGTAAAAGTCATTCTTTGCTCCAGGGCTGTATAAAAGCAATGGGAATAATTAGCTGCAGAAACCTTGTCTAGTTCAGAGCTTCATGCAGTGGAGAAAACAGAGTTAGATAGGAGGACCTGGGCCGAGTCAGTCATATAGGTAAGTTTTGCAAGGACTAAGCTTAACTACGCCTATCTCTGGATCCCTAGGCTAGAGCTGCCTGGGAAACACTACTCTTCACATGGTGGACGAGGGTACCCAGGTACACAAAGTGTTGTTCTTTATCATGTGCAACTTTGGTGGTGCTCAGCTCCCTCTGTATTTCCAAAGTTCTTGGCTGAGGGAGTAAGGTTGTTGTCTTGCTGGCTGAAGAGTTCGTAACAGTAGTCACCAAACTGTAGAGCCCTAAGCCCTAGTCAGCAGGTGGTAACAGTGAGGACTCGGGCCTGAAGAGCAGGGATGGGAGGTAGGCCTACGTGTGAATTTTCCCTCTGCTACCCAGTACCTGTGTGACCGTGGGCACCTCCAGGTCTGTGTCACTGCAGTGGGAGTAATCAGCAAGGATAGTTGTGAAAATTGAGCTGGTATGGTTACAAGTGTGCAGGCAGCCTGACTCCTAGCATCAGTCATGATAGCTCTACCATTATTTCCTGTATTACCATCATTGTCTCTACGGACATCTCTCATATGTCGGACACACTGTACCA